AAAAGCTACGGATCTCTGTCACCGCCTTCGGTGGCTCCCAATCAAGAACTGCTGTGACCTTAGCCGGGTCCACTGCTATACCCTCTCGACTGATAACATGGCCAAGAAATCTGACTTCTGAAAGCCAAAACTCGCACTTGCTGAACTTAGCATATAGCTGATGCTCCTGAAGAGTCCTCAACGCTATCCGTAGATGCTCCTCGTGATCCGCTTCCGATCTCGAGTAAATGAGAATATCATCAATGAAAACGATCACGAACTGATCTAAGAAGGGACTGAAAACCCGGTTCATCAAGTCCATGAATACCGCGGGTGCATTGGTCAACCCAAATGGCATGACCAAGAACTCGAAAGAACCATATCGAGTGAGAAAGGCGGTCTTGGGAATATCAATCTCCCTTACCCGCAATTGTTGATAGCCAGAACGAAGATCAATCTTCGAGAAATACTGCGCACCCTGCAACTGGTCAAACAAGTCATTAATCCTAGGTAGTGGGTACCTATTCTGGATAGTGACCTTGTTCAACTCTCTATAATCTATGCATAATCTCATACTACCGTCCTTCTTCTTCACGAAGAGGACCGGCGCGCCCCACGGAGAATGACTCCGACGAATAAAAGCCCCACGGAGAATGACTCCGGCGAATAAAACCCTGAGCTAACAACTCGTTCAACTGGGTCTGAAGCTCCCTCATCTCAGCTGGTACCATGCGATAGGGTGCGCAGGATATCGGGGCTGTGCCTGGCTGCAACTCAATACAGAACTCCACCTCTCTCACCGGAGGTAATCCAGGTATGTCCTGAAAGACATCCTGATACTCTGAGACAACTCTAGTCTCTAATAACTCAGCACCCTGATCCCGTCGCATCACCTCCTCGATGTACGCCAGAAATGACTCCGCATGTCGGTTTCCCTGAGAGGCGGCTACAATGATCTCGGACCCGTCGGACGCTCGCAACTTGACTGTCTTCGCAAAGCAGTCAATGCTAACATGGTAGGAAGACAACCAATCCATACCAAGGATGACATTGAACTCGGACATATGCAACACTATCAAATCAACTATGAACTCCGACTCGTCTAAACTGACGGTACACCTCCTACAAACGCTCTCCAGAAGCGATACCTCACCTAAAGGGGTGGAAACAGATAAAGGGGTGTCTAGAGGCTGAGCTACGAGCTGGAGTCTAGTCATAAATGCATGCGAGATGAAAGAATGCGAAGCTCCCGAATCGAAAAGAATACGGGCGGGAAGAGAGTTCACAAAGAACGTACCCTCCACAACAGCTCCGCTAGCTCCATGATCACGAGGAACTACCGCATAAACCCTGCCTGTGGCTGAGGACTGCTCTGCTGATGGTGCTGGAGAATAGGGGATAATCTGTCCCTGAGAAATATCCTGGACTGCCCGAATCTGTCCCTCAGTCCTCTGAGCTGCTGGCGGCGCCTCGAGTCGGTTCTGCTGGGCCTGACCTCTGCCCTGCTGTCGCTGCGACTGCTGGTTCGGACCCTTGCCCTGCTGGGCTCCTGCTGGTGCGCTCCCTAACTGAGTAAAACCTCCTGGACACGAGGTACCGTCGAAGATTAGGGCGAAGCCCTGCTAAGAACATCTGAGCCTGACGCTCTCCCGTCTGCCACATCCTCGTGAAATGTAGTAACTCCATGAACCGGCTCTCAAAATCCGTCACTGACATATCCCCCTGAGTCAAGCGGGACAACTCGAGCTCCTTCCCAGTCCGTGCTGCAGAAGAAATGTACTGTCCATCAAAGAAGTATATAAAATCCTCCCATGTGAGGGTCGTCCTCTGCTTCGGAGTAAACTGAAGTCGGTACCATCTCCTGGCATCTCCCTTCAGGCTGTAGGATGCTAGCCTCTGCTTCTGTACTGAATCCACACTGAGTATATCAAGTATGTTGCTCACATCCTCCTTCCACTTATGGGCTACAAGAGGGTCTGGTGACCCCTGGAACTCTGGTGCCCTCATCTTCTGATACCTCTCCACCATACGGAGCCAAACCTCCTGCTCTGTGGCTCTATCCGGGACTACTAGAGGAATGGCTGCAGGCGTGACCTCTGGGGGTCTGTCTCTGACAGGAATGGCAGGTATCCCCTGCTGCTGAGCTACCGGTGGTAGTGGTGTCCGTGGTGTTATATGAGTCGTCACCAACTCCTCAATGCTGTCATCCGGGCAATGAGAGGAGCCATGATGTCCACCAAATACTGAGGAGCCTGCTGCGGCTCGGGGGGAGCCTGCTGAGGCTCGGACTGAGCTGGCTGCTGCTCTGATGGAGTCTGCTGTGACTCTGCCTGGCTAGATCTCCTGGTACGAGGTCTACCACGTCCTGCCATCTATTTCTCTCTCTCTCTCTGATGAGAAGAAAAATAAAGTTTATGAGTCAAAACAGACCTTTATAAATAACGTATCACATTGAAATTTTTGCAACATATAGTATTCACACAAATACTTTGAATTTACACCAAAATAGTTGTCAAAAAAAAAAAAATTCTCAAATTTTGAGATATACGCATATATCGTCCTCACTCATACTAGGAATTTCTTACAGACTCTATACATGAATCCTAAGAAACTCTATCCTAGCTCCACGACCCGACACAGGATGATCCTAAGGATACGGGAACTAGAGCTCTAATACCATTTGTAACGCCCCGCACCGGAATCCCGGAGTCGGTACGCTATTAGATCTGATGGACTGGCCTCACAAACCACCACATGTCTTTTTAGCACGTTTTGTCCTCACTCACGCGCTCCCTGGAAAACTTCCCAGGGGGTCACCCATCCTAGAATTTCTCCAGGCTAAGCACGCTTAACTTTAGAGTTTCTAAGAGTTGGGTTCCCGAAAAGAAGATGCATCTTGGTGGTATGAGTATTTCAATCAAATCTATCAATACTAATCACATCACCCTCTCAAGGGTTGGGGTATTACACACATGAGTTACTAGTAGAGACTCCACAGAAGAGTATATTACTATTCAGGCATTAGAATTTTAGTATTACATTTTGTAAAGGCAGTGAGCTTGATACATTCTTAGTTGATCCATGTTGTGATACATTCATATATTTCATGATGACAGATGTATTCCAGACTTTTTCATTGAGACATGATTTATTTGTTAGACATTCTTTCTTATATAATGTCAGTTGTAGTTATTTTCCTTCTTTTGCCTGTTTGTACATGCACTTTATTTCTGATTTTACTAGAGGATATTGCTATGATTGGTGAAACTTGTTATTGCACAGTGTGAGTGCATGACAGATTTGACATCTCTAGGTTCACCCTGGACTGCAGCCATGTGTGAAACCAGGGGCATCACACACAATTCGTATACATGTGTCAACCACAACAAAAACGAGGACAGCGCAGAAACGACAATGAAGCCGGGCCTTCCCAACGTGTTGACGACGGAGCTAGACCGTCACAACCACAAACGCAACCGGATCACGAACTCATCGAAGGTCGGGATGGAGGAGGCCGAAGACAATGGAGGAGGAGGAGAGTTCTTGGATGTATGTAAACTAATCAATATTGTTATATACATTACAATCCTATTTTGGTATGTACATTACAAACCTATTTCGGGATGTGAGATGTTTTTTGGATTTGTAGCCGAGACTGTGGTGTGATTTATTGGATTTGTAAGTGGGTTTGTGGCGTGATTTGTTGGATTTGTAAGTGGGTTTTTGGTGTGATTTGTTGAATTTGTAAATGAGTTTGTGTCTGTGGTGTAATTTATGATTTTTAGATTTGATATATGAGTTTATATAGGGATTTGATAGGAAAAGAAAAAGCAACATGTGCATGTTTTTGTGCACAGGAAATGCACAGGACTGCTAGTCCCGTGCATTTCTTTTTGTGTCCTCGAAAAGCACGGAACTGCCAGTCCCGTGCAATTGGTTTGTAATGCAAAAGTCTTTGCTTTTTACTCGGGACTATCAGTCCCGAGTAAAATAGCAGAGACCATCCTAAAGAAAAAATTGAAATGCACGGGACTGCTAGTCCCGTGCATTTCAATTGCTGTCCGAACTACACGGGACTGCTAGTCCCGTGTAGCTCGGAAGACATCGATGCTGCAAAACCGACCATTTTCTGAAGAAAATGATCGCTTTTGCAGATTAATTTCTAATCAGGCCGGTTTTACTATATAAAATTGAAAAAGGACTCATTTTAAAAATTTGTCCTTTTTATGAATGAATAGACCAAATATTCATACCAAGTCGTCGCCCGGCATTTCCCGTGCCGTTCGAGTCTTATATCCCGCATCGACTTCCCACCGACAGAGAGAGCGCGTTCAACCTACGATCACCAAAGCAAACCCTCGTCTTCCTCGAAATTACCCCCCGCCCTCCCCCAAACCGGGGGGCAACCTCACGTAATCGTCACTCTTCCCAAGGCCCTTTACTCCCCCGCGAACCCCTCACAAAATCCTTCAACGACCCCCTCCAATTTCTTCCGACTCCCATCGAGATCAGAGATCCACCGAATCGAATCTCATCTCGATGGCGATCCCAAAGGCCCCTAACCTCTCCTCTCCTTCCCTCCTCCTCATCGGACGCTCGCCGAGATCCGCGTTCATGGACATCCGATCCGACGAGCCCGAACATCGTATCCCTTCGACGAGTTCGGTTCAAACCCACACGGGGATCCTAGAGCTCAACGTCTCCCTCCCATCCTCCCTCTCCGACTCCAACCCCGACCTCGATCTCTTCAGTTAGGGTCTTCCTCAGCACCGCGACTGACGTGGATCCACTGCTCAGCAAGATCCAGGACGCTCGACGCACGTGCGCCCTCCTAGTCGGCTCGTCAAGCTTCGTTCTTCGCTTCGACCGCCCCCCGGTCCGCCTCCACCCCCTCCGTCCGCGCCCCCGGGTTTCGGATCCGTCTTCCACGTCACCGACCCGGGCCAGTACACCCTCTCTTCGCCAACTGCCTTCCCCAGCTCGAAGGTCTCATGTCCGTTCGATCCGCATGTACAACCTCGAGGCCAGGTCCACCAGGCGGATCTTACCTCTAGCGGGTCGCCGTGCTCCCGACGGTCTACTTCGCCTTCTTCCTGGCCTACTGTGCCCTGGCTGTGGTCTGGATCTCGATCTTGATCAAGAAGAGGAGGACGGCGTTCATGATCCATTACTTCATGCTCGCCGTTGTGATTCTGAAGGCGCTGAATCTGATATGCGAGGCGGAGGACAAGTCGTACATCGAGAGGACTGGGAGCGCCCACGGGTGGGATGTGCTGTTCTACATATTCAGCTTCTTGAAGGGGATTTCCCTCTTCACCCTGATCGTCTTGATCGGGACCGGGTGGTCGTTCTTGAAGCCGTACCTGCAGGACAAGGAGAAGAAGGTGCTGATGGTTGTGATCCCGCTGCAGATTGTGGCGAATATCGCCCAGGTTGCCATCGATGAGTCTGGGCCTTATGCAAGGGATTGGGTCACTTGGAAGCAGGTTTTCCTGCTTGTCGACGTGCTCTGCTGCTGCGCTGTGTTGTTCCCGATTGTTTGGTCCATTAAGAACCTTCGGGAGGCTGCGAGGACCGATGGGAAGGCTGCGGTTAATCTGATGAAGTTGACCCTTTTCAGGCAGTACTACATAGTTGTGATTTGCTACATTTACTTCACCAGGGTGGTTGTTTACGCGCTGATTACCATCACTTCGTATCGGTATCTTTGGACCAGTGTTGTTGCTGGAGAGCTGGCGACGTTGGCTTTCTATGTGTTTACGGGCTACAAGTTTAGGCCGGAGGTGCATAATCCGTACTTTGTGATTGATGATGAGGAAGAGGAGGCGGCTGCCGAGGCGTTGAAGCTCGACGATGAGTTTGAGCTGTGAGCAGCTGATGATGAAATGGGCTTTCCTTGTCTCAGGGGAAGGGTGCCCAATACAACTGCCTGAGGATTCAGAAGATTTGAGGTGGGATTTAGACTTTACTTTGTTCATCTTCTTACTTTAGCTTTTTTTCTTCTTCATTTACTGTGTATGTGGGTTCTCGATACCATCCTTATAAGGAACTATTAGAGTCTTGGTCTACATTGTTCTATAATTTGTATTTTTCACCTCTGTATGTGGTTTCTTAGTTCGTAATGGATTTTGCTGTCAGTGGTGTTTACCTGTGATTTAATCTCTATATTGGACGTTCATATTTAGCATTGTGTGTTGAGGTGCCCAATACAACCTTTTTGTTTCTAATGCCTGCTAGTTCCAAATTTGATTTTGGTACTCCAGTCCATTGATGATGTGAACTCCATGACTTCATTTACATGTTATGTTATTATAGATGGCACGTAAATTTATTAAGAGAGTTTTCAATCTCTGGTACTAGAATGCTTCTTTAGGGTTCTTATCCTGTTTACTTGTACAAGTTTAAGTTGCGGTATCAATAATCTAAATTTGGTTAAGAAACTCGCAGTTGTGCTTATATATAATCAGTGGAAGAGCATTGAGTGCTCTAATTTGTAGTGCAAAATATATCTTTGAATTCACACATTAAGGTTTGTGTAATTGTTACAAGACATTATTTTGGTAGAAATCCTGTGTAGAAACACGCACCTCAGATATTCTATACAGGAGTTTGTGATCAGTCAAATACAAGATAGTTTTTCAACAATGATCACTCATATTTAGGACCTGAATTGGAAATCACAGAGTAGAAAGGCGACACAGCCAATAATGATTAACTGATTGAAAATTTGCGTAATGAAAGAGGCTAATTTAACATATATACTAAGTCAAGTTGGAGCATGATAATCTAGGAAGCTCAACTTGTTTATATGCCAAGTGGTCTTATACAATAGCAGCTAGTTAAGTACTTAAATAGTGGTACTGTTAGATGCAAGAATTGTTCAAAATAACCCAAGTTCACATGTAAAATGACAACCAATCTCAATAAGTTATGTTCTTTCTTGAAAAACAACAGTCTAGAGGATAATATTATTATTATGCCAGATGGAAGATTATGTATACTAGTGTCGCAGTGAACCATCTTAACTCCCAATATGTTAGTTATTGCCTAGATTTTGATATCTGCAAAAGAATCCGATGAGAGATTTTGTGAAATTGATCTAGCAGCAAGAAGAGCGCAAGCCCCGGATGGACCATGATTTATTTGATTGGAAGCTTTTTTAGCATTGCATTAAGCTTGAAGTTGGAGTTTGGTACATGAAAAATAATATCTCTGCCTAGACTACTTTAAGACAACAAAGAAGGTCAGCCGCAGCATGATGTGGGGTGTGTGGCTGATACATGAATTGGCTCAAAATATTGATAGCATAACTGATGTTGTACATGAGAAATCCAACAAGCCATTTATATTAATAGGGTTAGTGAAGAGGGCCTCCTTTGGTAATACGCAATACCAAATATTAACCATAGAAAAAGTATTTGGAGAACATCTTTCAAGATGTTTATTGCCAGAAGGCTATATCGAGTATTGAGTGCGTAGAAACAAATGTTGGAAGCACAAGAAGAATTTTGGAAAAGCATGAAATAACCAATCGTAGATTGAGTATAGCTAGCTTGAAGAAGGAAGTAGAGAATTTGGCTAACCATTGCACCTTGCTTGATTTAGTGCATATAAAGATTCATGATATTTGGTGACAAGGTATTCCTGTTCTTAGTTGAAATACCTCGAGGAATTGGCATTTAAATCTTTTGTCTTAGATTCCCATGTGAAAATAAAACCAAATCATTGACATCAAAATTGGTGAAATTGCCAATTTGGGAAGAGACCGGTGATCGTCGATTACTTGGACCAAACGTAATCTAAGAGACGACTGAGAAGATCCAAACCATTCGGCAACATATGCAGACGGTACAAAGTAGGCAAAAGAGCTATGCAGATCCACGATGCAAGGATCTAGAATTCCAGGTTGGTGATTATGTGTTTCTGAAGGCTACACCAATGAAAGGAATATCAAGAGGTGGTAAGAAATGCAAACTCTGTCCGAGATAACTCGGACCATTCAAAATTTTGGAGAAGATTGGACCTGTGGCCTACCGGCTAGCCTTGCCCCTAGAATTAGAGAAGATTCATAATGTGTTTCAAGTATCGAACTTGAAGAAGTATGTATCAGACCCAGGACACATCATTTCGCACCAAGCCTTGCCCTTGCGGGAGGATCTATCTTATGAAGAACGATCGGTTCAAGTGCTAGGCTTTAAGGAGAAGCAGCTGAGAAACAAGTCCATATTGCTAGTTAAAGTTTTATGGAACAATCGAGGTGTTAAGGAAGCAACATGGGAACTAGAATCTGAGATGCGAAAAGTATATCCATATTTATTTTGAGGATACCTAAAAATTTCGGGGACGAAATTTCCTTAAGGGGGAAAGCATGTAATATTGTCTTTTTCCTTCCGATGATCGGATACTGTTATCGATACCGATTCATAAATCAATAAATTCATTCCTTCATTGTATCCCATATAATCTTCTAGCATGAGGATTTAAATTTAGCTAATTCTCATATTATGATCTAGTTAACTAAGTCATAACATGCATACAAACATAGCACGTAAACCTAAACCAACCATGCTTTCAACTTTAATTAGAGATAACTCATTTGTTAAATACCTAATTTGAAACTCTCTAATTAACATAATTATTTAGTTTATTCAGCCATGCTAGTGGATAAAATTTGCACAAAAACCCTTAACTTTGGCCAAATTGAAGATTCCTCTTCACATGGGCTTATATATATGTGCACCCCTCCTCTCATTTTTCCATCCTAAAAAAAAGTGTCCAAACTCTCATCTCTCTCCTCTGACCGACCAAACCCTAGCCCCTCTCCTCATGTAAAAAAAAGAAGAAAAATAAATAGATTCCATAAGCTCTAAACATTGAAGAAGGAGAGGAGAAAGGAGTCAGTTGAGTATTTTGGAGGAGAAAGTGGAGCAAGTTTCAATCCTTGGTATAATTCTCTTTTGCATGTTATTTAGGATATTAGACTGAGATTATAAGATTTAATTTGGTTTTGATTATAATTCTCTTTTGCATGTTGTTATTCAGAATTAAACAAATAAGGTCTCAAATGAAAGTCACGGAAATATAGTTTCTAGAACAGAAAGAATTTCTACATTTGGATATATACAAAGAAAGTTATGATCTTTTCACTGATAGGATATCCTGCTGGAAATTTCTGCACGAAATTCTGTTTTAAGATAAAATTGACATGCAAATGATAAAAACCTCACATGCAAGATCAAAACCAAATTAAATCATATAATCTCAGTCTAATATCCTTAATAACAACATTCAAAAGAGAATTATATCTAAGGTTGAGATTTGCTCCACTTCCTCCTCCAAAATCCTCAACTATCTTCTTTCTCCTCTCCTTCTTCGATGTTTAGAGCTTGAGAGAGGGAGCTTATAGAATCTATTTATTTTTCTTTTTTTTACAAGAGGAGAGGACTGGGGTTTGGTCAGCCAGAGGGGAGGGATGAGGTTTTGGAGATTTTTTTTGAATGACAAAATGAGAGGTGTGTGCATTTATAAATAAGGCCTATGTGAAGAGGAATCTTCAATTTGGTCAAAGTTAAGGGTTTTTATGCAAATTTCACCCACTAACATGGCTGAATAAATTAAATAATTATGTTAATTATATAGTTTCAAATTAGATATATAACAAATGGTTTATCTCTAATTATAGTTTAAAGCATGATTGGTTTAGGTTTACATGCTAAGTTTGTATGCATGCTATAACTTCGTTAACAAGATCATAATATGAAAATTAGCTAAGTTAAAATCCCCATGCTAGAAGATTATATGGGATATAAAAATGAATGAATTTACTAATTTATAGAGCGGTATTGGTAACGGTATCCAGTCATCTGAAGGAAAAAGGAAATGTTACATACTTCCCCCCTTAATGAAATTTCGTTCCCGAAATTTTTTACGTACCCTCAAAATAAATGTGGATATACTTTTCGCATCTTAGATTCTAGTTCCCATGTTGCCTCCTCAACGCCTCGATTGTTCAATAACACTTTAACTAGTGATATGTACTTGTTTTTTAGCTGCTTCTCCTTAAAGCCTAGCACTCGAACCGATAGTTCTTCATAAGATAGATCCTCCCGCAGGGCAAGGCTTGGTGCGAAATGATGTTTCCTGGGTCTGGTATGTGTTAGACCCTAGAGGGGGGGGGTGATTAGGGTCTTATGCTAATCTAATCCGATTTAAATGCCAATT